ACTACAGTACAGGACCAACACTACTGAAGGAAATGGTACAACTACCAGACCAACACTACTGAGGGAAATAATGGTACAACTACAGGACTGATGCTACTGAGGGTAATGGTACAACTACAAGACCAACACTTCTGATGGAAATGGTACAACTACCAGACCAACACTACTGAGGGTAATGGTACAACTACCAGACCAACACTACTGAGGGTAATAATGGTATTACAGGACAAACACTACTGGGGGTTATGGTACTACAGGACAAACACTACTGAGGGTTATGGTACTACAGGACAAGCACTACTGAGGGTTATGGTACAACTACAGGACCGACACTACTGAGGGTAATGGTGCAACTACATGACAGATGCTACTGAGGGTAATGGTACTACTACAGGACCAACACTACTGAGGGTAATGGTACTACAGGCCAAACACTACTGAGGGTTATGGTACTACAACATCTGTCAGACCAACACTACTGAGGGTAATGGTACAACTGTCAGACCAACACTACTGAGTGTTTGTCCTGTAGTACCATAACCCTCAGTAGTGTTTGTCCCTACAGGACCGACACTACTGAGGGTAATGGTACTACAGGACAAACACTACTGAGGGTTATGGTACTACAGGACAAACACTAATGAGGGTAATGGTACTACAGGACAAACACTGCTGATGGTACTGGTACAACGTGTTCACACATCGTACCAAGACAACTCTGAATAAGGAGTTGATTACCAGTGAAAGCAGATCTTGGTAAGTATTATATTGTAGAAATGACTGGACTGGAACTGGTAGGACAGGACTTACTCTACTTGGGGTAATGGTACAACTACAGGACCACCACAACTGTGGGAAATGGTATCAACTACAGTACAGGACCAACACTACTGAGGGAAATGGTACAACTACAGTACAGACACTACTGAGGGTAATAATGGTAACAACTACAGGACCAACACTACTGAGGGTAATGGTTCAAATACAGGACAGACACTACTGAGGGTAATAATGGTAACAACTACAGGACCAACACTACTGAGGGTAATGGTACAACTACTATCTTTTGACTGAAGATTAGTAATTTCCAACCAGGAATGAGGAGAAATGGTACGACTGAGGACCAGGAACCACAAATCAGGGATGATGAGAAATAAGTACAGTGATCAGGGGCCACCAACCAGGGATGAGGAGCAATAGTACAACAGAGGACCAGGGACCTACAACGACAGAGGACCAGGGACTGCCAATAAGGGATGAGGAGAAATATTACAACAGAGGACCAGGGATGATGAGAAAGGGTTCGACTGAGGAGCAGGGACCACCAACCAGGGATGATGGGAAATTGTACAACAGAGGACCAGGGACCACCAACCAGGGATGAGGGGAAATGGTACAACTGAGAACCAGGGACCACCAGGCAGAGATGACAGGAAATGGTACAACGGAGAACCAGGGACCACCAGGCAGAGATGACAGGAAATGGTACGACTGAGGACCAGGGACCACCAACAGGGATGAGGGGAAATGGTACAACTGAGATCCAGGGACCACCAGGCAGAGATGACAGGAAATGGTACGACTGAGGACCAGGGACCACCAACCAGGGATGAGGGGAAATGGTACA